CTCTCTCTCTCTCTCTCTCTCTCTCTCTCTCTCTCTCTCTCTCTCTCTCTCTCTCTCTCTCTCTCTCCCCATGAGTTTCCCGACAGTCCTGTTTATAGCAATGTATGTATATGCATGATCTACTAATCGACGAGTAGTAACCCATCCTGATTTATTTTTCGGACTATCCCCACTCCCATATTGACCCTTCTCTCGCTTGTCTCCAGCTATATCGTTTATAAACAACCAACATCAACGGAAAGTACACTATGCTCTTTCTCAAATCTGGCGGCATAGCACAACTTTTACCACCATAGTATAGACCCCCTACCGACCCTATGATAGTAGGAGCCAATCAAAGCCCAATAATACCGATACGTCATTACCGCAGAAAAACTATCGGGACACTGGGAACGAGCTGCTCTGTACCGATATTAGCGCCTAAAATGATCCCTTCCAGGAAACCCCTGAGCTCTCCGATCTCCGGGACAGTCTCCACATCGCGACAAAAAAGGCTCGTAAACCCCTGCTAGGTTTTCACAGCATGCCGACGAAAACTAGTGTCGGAGCTCGGCCATTTACAGTATGCTGCGTGGCATGGCGTGCATAATGTGCACACACCCAAAACACACTAAGGACGGGGACCTTGTGTCCCCAGCATCGCTGCTGATGGGCGCTCCCATCCGCCATGCTGCCGGAACAAGCACCGAAAGGGTATTGCAGGAGAATGAGCATGGTAACACAGTGAGTGGAGTAACCAGGTGAGAAGTAAGGGAGTGATGTGGTAAAGGCAGCCGTAAGGAAAGCAGTTTGAACAAGTCGATGGGAAACGCATTCGGAATGACGAAGCTGTATACGATTTGTGTTCCCGCGCCCTCTCAATCCGCCCTCTCCCGCCACCGCTGCTTTGTTTTTATTTCTGTGTCGGTTTCTGTCTCCGTTTCTGTCTCTGTCTCTGTTTCTATTTCTGGTTCTGGTCCTTTTTACCTCCCCTCCGCTTCTCTCTTTTTTTCCCCCCCTCCCTCTCTCTTCTGTCCCGACTCCTTCTCGCAATGCAAACCGCACAACCGTGTTGATTTTTCGCAGTTCATTCATGAACAAGACATCCCCGGAGGATGGTGGAGTCAGGTAACCGAGGCGTTCCTTTGGATCGCCCAGTGCCCGTGGCCGAGCAAACCCACGCAAACACTCATTACCTGCATAAAACCGGAGATCATGGCAAGAGTGAAAGTCATCAGGGATTCCGGTAGGTTTCCACACGTCTTCCAGATGCTTGGTTTTAGTGACTTAGCTGTACTGGCCAGGTCGTGGGACATAGGGGAGGAAGTTTTTCAGACCGAACTAAACGAGTTAGCAGCAAGGCTGGAGGTTAGTAAGATCGAGTATTCCAGGGAATGCATAGAGTTACCCGAGAAGGTAGCAGCAATGAAACGAACCTTTTTGAGGGCGTGGGGGTTGAGCGACTCACACGTGAGGGCACCAACCATCCCCAGGGCGAGAAGGGAGCCGGCTGTAGCAGCACAACCTAGGCATGCAGTCGGATTGCAAGCTCTGGAAATCGGAGAAGAGGAGAGGCAGGAAATGGAACAGGTCATTGCAGCCATCAACGCTACAACCGCGGAAAGAATCACCCCTCCCCGCAGAGTTAGAAGGTATACTGCTGCCGAACCGACTGGGCAGTTCACTGCGTTTGCACCTTTAGCTTCGGAGAGGTGGGTGGAGCACACGTGCCTGGCCTACCGCCATGGCATTTGGAAAATTGATACATTTAATCACCTGTCGCCAATGTCCATAAAAGCACTGCAGTTCATAGCCGGGGTCACAGACGAGGAGGCACTCACCTGTCAGGAGGTTGCACTAGATGGCAGTCTGGAGCATGCAGGTAAGCAGAGTAAGTCTATAGAACCGGCAGATCTTAGCTTTCCACCGATGTCATACCTGGACCGGGATAAGTGTGGGGACACCCCGTCGGTGTGTTGGCAGAAAGGCATCAAACAGCCACCTAACTTGCAGCTTAGAAGCCTACGAAAAGTATGGAGCACAGGGAGACCGTATCTCAAATGCCAATGTGGTAAGGACAGCCAGACTGACTGTTCCGGCAGACCTATCTGGTTTGACCATGCACTATGGTTTCTGTTAGCACACCCTGACATCCTCTTTCCAAACATGTCATCCATCAGAGTGCAAACGTCGATGCTCCTTCACTTCCTCCGTAGCTCCTGGAAGTCGGCAATCCTCGATTACATCACCTTCATCAACATCCGACACGTCATGATGGGTCTGGCAGGGAACTTAGTGCAGGATAGCACACTTGACGCTGAATTAATCATCAAGGACCAGAGACTGTGGAACTACAGACTTCCGCCTACCCTAGCCAAGATCATCCTTCCTACAAGGATCCCGGCCAGACCAAGGAGAGCAGGATCACCAAGGACCAATGCACGGAGAAGGGCCTGGAATGAACAAGCGTTGATCCCAAGACAAGGCCGACTCAACTTTCGACCGGCACAGGCAGAACAGGCGGAGCGTGCAGACCTCCCCCCTCCCCCACTCAGGAGAAGACTTGACGAAGCCGGAGCGGCCCAACAAGTGCAACGGGGAGAAGCAAGGCAACAGGATGCGGCAGTTGATCAACCACCTCTGAGCGCTGCTCCCACCAACACAAGGGAACGCAGGAACCCCTCCCAGCGGTCGTCATCCGTCACGCAGGCGACTCAGCAGCAGAATGGTAGAAAAAAAGGCAGAGCCACAGCAACAAGCGGAAGAGGGCAGAGCTCAGAGATCTTCACTCCTTGAGAGATGCAGGGTCCAATGTTCGCGAGGGAGGACAACGGTCGTTTGGGACTTCCTTCCTTCCTTCCTCTTTCTTCCTTCTTCCATCCCTTCCCCCTTTTTTTCTATCTATCTTCCTTTCTTTCTCTCTTTCTTTCTGTCTTTTTTCCTTTCTTTCTTTCTAGCTGTCTTTCTTTCTTTCTTTCTGTCTTTCTTTCTTTCTTTCTTCTTTCTTTCTTTCTCTCTTTCTTTCTTTCTCTCTTTCTCTTTGTCCTTCTTCTTCTCCTTCTTCTTCTTCTTCTTCATCTCTCTCTCTCTCTCTCTCTCTCTCTCTCTCTCTCTCTCTCTCTCTCTCTCTCTCTCTCTCTCTCTCTCTCTCTCTCTCTCTCNNNNTCTCTCTCTCTCTCTCTCTCTCTCTCTCTCTCTCTCTCTCTCTCTCTCTCTCTCTCTCTCTCTCTCTCTCTCTCTCTCTCTCGCTCTCGCTCTCTCCATCTCTCTTTCTCTCTCTCTCTCCCTTTCTCCCTCCTCTATCACATTTCCATATATATATATTTTTATATATGTATACAAGATGAACGGGCCCTCTACACAACTTACAGACCTGGCCTTGTACCTCGTCATGTGATGCGTTGCAGGAACCGAGAGTGGAGCCAATAACCACCGGGGAGATGGTACGACTCCCGATTGGAAGGAAGAAATGGGTCAGAGAACGGGTAGAGAGAACGATGTGCTTGCACATGAGATACTCCAGCCATATCATGAAGGCATTCAGCATCCGAAAGCTGGTGAAGGAAATGCTGGAGAGGGTGGTAGGAGAGGACGCTAAGAATTGGCAGGATGATGTCATGTTTGGATGGACCTACAATGATGCCATTGCCGCCAAACTCTGCAGACCGTATGACGTGTTCAAAGACTTCGACCTCGACTACTGGCTCAGCAACTACAAGGAGGAGGAATGCCACTGCAACGCAGGAAGGAATGCGCAATTTCGTAACAACAACACGCTCCTGCTGAAACCAGACGCCGCCTGTCCCCACGTCATTACACTTGACACCGCAATCACGTCCAACAACACCTTGAGAGCAATAATGGGACGGGGATTAAACCACATCCCAATTAAGGCCATGGACATAAACGAAGCACTAACGGAGGTTGATGCACTGCTTGACAGGCTGTTCGAGAAGCATAAAGAAATTGCGGACCTGCATGACTGGTAGAAGAGGAAGATCAGATGGTTGGTCAGGGAGAAGGCGAAGCAGAGAATGAGGACGTTCCTAGGCAACCGCAGGTACGTAACAGCAGAACCATTTGGCAGCAAGCAGGTGAGCGGCGAGATCGATGCACTCACGAACAAGTTCCTGATTGCACCAACAGACAAGGCGGCCAGCACTCCGGCGTTCATCTGCGTTAACTTCATACGAGCACTAGCACTGTAGAGACTTTCAGGACCAAACTTCGTACGAATTGACGAACCCCCCTACTCCATGGTAGGGAGACTCAAGGATGAGTTGTGATGCATGAACCCCCTCCCAGAAGGAGAGCAGGCGCTCCCGTACCTGATGACGGTCTATAAAGCACACAAAGGTACTTTTCGATGGATCAACAATACAGTTGGCACTGTCCTCTCACCCATGGCAGACATCTGCGCGTGCCGTCTGCGATTCCTGGTCCCCAACGTGCAGGCGGACTACAGCCAACTGGCTGAGCAGATTGAGCAGCAGCATGGCGTTAGACCCAACCTTTGGTGGCATGTAGCATCTGTAGGCGAGTTCGCTGCCAACCTGCCAGAGAAAGTCTTCTCAGCATACACAGCAGACATCACAAGGTGCTTACGGCGCTGAAGTTCTTTGTGCAGTGTGCAATGGATCACAGGAGGGACAGGAGCACCAGTGACTCAGTCAGAGTGCGAATAACCGGCAAAGGAAAGATGTTTCCGTCATGGACGCACCCCGGGACAGCAGCGGAGGACGGGTCCATCATGTTCGATGAAGATGACATCGTGTGGGTATCAGAATGGTGTCTGACTAACAATTGGGTTCGAATGGGTGCATATGCGTGGAGGCAAGTGCTGGGAATTCCAATCGGCCTAGCTTGCTCACCGATCTGGTGTGACCTTTACTTCTTTAAATACGAGTTTGCAGCAATCATGGGGATGGTATCTAGGCAGCAATTCGAACTGGTGCAATGCTTCAGGGATACCTTCAGGTACGTCGACGATGTAGTTGCTCTCAACAACACCATCATTGCGGAATGCATGCAAGGCAGAGTTCAAGGGGAGGGCGTAACGGGCGGAGTACAGCCCATCTATCCTGTGCAGTTCATCGAGGTAGTGGAGAACACCATGGTAATAGACGGCGAGCAAGGGAGGATTGCCAACTTCCTGAACATGACCATTTTCGTGAACTCCGAGGAAGAGGGCACGTTTTCTACCACGAAGCATGACAAGAATGTAGGACTCGGATTTCAACCTATCCGATTCATGCGTTACAAGTCAAACAGGAGCGTGGCCCAGTCGTTGCAGATCATCACGGCTCAGACTGCGCTCATACTAGTCCTCTACACTGATCCGCTAGACGTGGCTGATGAACTCTTCAAAGCGGTCTCGATCATGGCTAACAACGAATTTGATGAAGGGAGGTGCTGGGCAGTGGTGAAGAAGGTCCTTGCGCACCCGGAAAGGTATAAACCAGGCAGGACCCCAAGTGGCAGAGTGAAGGAAGCGATCAAAATTAGATTTGGCGTGAACTAACTGAGTGCTGATGTGTATGTGTAGTCAACATGTGTGTGTGCGCGCGTGTGTGTGGTGACCGAAGGGGCGAGCCAGCTGGGAAGCTAATCCCCTCGGGCACCAGTACTTCCAGTTTGGCCAACCCCCTCGAAGGGAAAGGGGTGGGGCACACACACACACACACACACACACACACACACACACACACACACACGCTCACACGATGAGAGACAGAAGAAGAGCGGCAGGAGGCGGATGGACCCAGCAGAACTAGGAGCCCAAGGGCCGACAGAAGCGACAGCAGTCCAGGACCACTGTGGCGGAACCACTCAGCCGCACCAGCAAGCGAACAGATCAGGACTTCGGAGTCGCATCACGGCCCCTTGTGATACCATCTCCCACAACGGCCTCAATTCCCCTTTTATCCCTTGCCCATGTCAGTAGGCCCGTCAGGTCGCTAATGGGACAAGTCGTCAAAGTTTTTCTCCCCCATTTCCTGTTCCTTCTTCCCTGTTCCTTTCCCTTTGCGTTGTTTTCGTGTTTTCTTGTTTTCTTGTATTTTGTCTTTTGTTGAAAAAAACTTTCCTTTTTCGGTCAGCATGAGCACATCTGGCCCACCACCCGCCCCTTCCCCCTTCCTCCCTTCCCCCTTCCTTTCCTTTCTGTTGCGTAGGCGCTTGGTTCCATGACCGGGCCCTTCCTATTTCAAGCAGATCCCCCCGGGGAGGAAAAACACGAGGATCGAAACCCTGCCTAGGCCAGAAATGGATAGGTGCTTGGCCAGGCACACACGCACCCCCCGGAAGTAACACAAGGTCGACAGACTAGTTGGGCGTCGATGATATCCTGTTCATTTGGTTGATAGCCACTTGGCGCCAAATTTTTGAAAAATAAAGCGGGTCGTCGTTTCAGGTGTAGTCAGAAGTAGTAGACACGAATAGTAAGGAGGCGTAGTATTTAGGAAGAAACTAACAAAGACCAAGCATCATCATCGAAGCAGAAGCGACAATCCGCCGGCATTCTCGGAAGACTTTTTTTGACGCACTCTTCTGTGAACGAACGCAGCGGCCGGCATGGACTTCCCCTTGGACCTCGATGCGCTTGCAGCCTGGAGGGAAGTGCACGATCAAGAGACGTTATTCTTCTGAGCCGCAGCTCCTTGATCCACGCATCACGGAAGTATCGGGCAAAAATTGAGCAGCCTCCAGCAGCAACAGTGCAGCGCCTCGCATCCTTTGAGAACCCGATCCCTTCCTATCATGTCCTCATCCCATTCCGCTAAGCAATTTTTCTTCGTCTTCACGCTAGCGCTCGCCCCCAGCTTTCTTACCTGCACAGATGCCACTCCTACCGCAACACCAACAAGCATGGATGATGCGCCACGGTGTCCCATAGCTTTCTCTCCCGCCCTCGCCAGCTCGCTTGTGACAGCGCTACTGGCCTTGTTCTGCCTCGCGGCGCTTCCGAACCTTATGCTGGCTAGATCCCTCATTKGAGCACTCACCACGGAGCAGGCACTTCTTGCRCCCTCTCGCCAGCAAGCAGCGCTTCTCTGCGCARCATTCGCCTATATTGGCRCAGCTTCTRCAGCAGCAGCCACCTTCTTTTGCGCCATCACAGCCRCAGCTATYGTGTTAGCYGAGCAGCACTAGCAAGCCATGGCGGATAGCGRCGAAAAGACGGAAACAACGATTTGCTGCYTTCTAGCATAYCTAGCATTTCTAGYCGGTCTTGCCTTTATCCTTTTCATCGYGGCACTACCACTCGAGCACGGCACCACARCAAGCAGGRAACAAGCAGCCASYAGCCTSCAKACGGCGGAGTCASAGAATCCTCTCCCACCTCCTCCTCCTCCCCCTCCCTCCCCCCTACGCTCCCACCGCTCRACCAAATGRCTAATCTCTCTCCCMCTATCTTTCCCCCTCTCCATTGCRATCACMATCCTCACCGCCATCCCCTTCACTCTGTGTGTCGTCCTTGTTGCACCAATCTTCTGAAACCAAGGAAGATTACTACCCTCTGATGACGCTGCAATGTGGGTGCAGCTGAAAGGCCTCAGGGATAAGCCACCCCCTCCCGCGAGTCGGCCAACGGACGCAGCGCACWGATGCGACGGTCTGTCCAGTCAAATGCTTGATGCGGGTTCTTGTCCTTTGTCCTTTTCCTTTTCTTTTTTTTTTCTTCTCTGTTTCTCCTTCTTCATCGTCTTCTTCGCCCTTCTTTTCCCTCACTGCCCCTACCCAGACCAGTCACCTTACCCTTACCCGCTGCCCGTTGCTAAAGAAACATTGGTGCTTTGAACAATTGGCTTTATAAATAACTGCTTCGTTTACTTGGTCAAGCTTTTTTCGCTGGTTTTTTGTAAAKGCCTCGTCACTTTGTATAAAGCTTTTTCGATTGAAATAGTTAGCCATTTTTCATTTTTTATTTTTCATTTTTTTATTATTTTTTTATTTTTATTTTTTTGCTTTTTGCTTCAACTTTTCAATACATATGAACCTAGTGTCCTTGCTTGGTTACGGCACATGTACAACCCTTCGTGAATAACGKGCCGAATTCTTCTACCCCCGCTCGAAGGCCTGACACATGAGGTAATCTGCTGTTCACTAGTCTTCTCGGAAGGCACTTAGCCTCCCCCTCCTCTTGTTGTAGAAGTCGATTTGCTGGTTTCGATAAATGCTTCATCTCCTTGTTTAAAGTTGTTTTCGATTGAAATAGTTAGTCATTTTCTGTTTTGTTTTTCGATTTTTCGCCTTGGTTATTTTTGGGAGTACATATGGATAATCTGTTCGCAACCTAGTGTCCTTGCTTGGTTACGGCATGTATACAACCCTTCGAGGGTAGCGGGCCAAAATTCGTCCAGCCCCACTTGAAGGCCTGATACGTGTTGTAATCTGCTGTTCACTAGTCTTTTCAGAAGGCACTTAGCCTCCCCCTCGCTTGTTGTAGAAGTCGATTCGCTGGTTTCGATTAATGCTYCATCTCCTTGTTTAAAGCTGTTCTCGATTGAAATAGTTAGCCATTTGTTTTCCGTTTTYTATTTTTTGTTTTTAGATTTTTCGCCTTGGCAATTTTTTTGGGAGTACATATGGATAATCTGTTCGRAACCTAGGGTCCTTGCTTGGTTAYGGCACGTGTACAAACCTTCGAGAGTAGCGGGCCAAAATTCGTCCAGCCCCGCTCGAAAGCCTAACACGTGATGTAATCTGCTGTTCACTAGTCTTTTCGGAAGGCACTTAGCTCCCTCCTCCGCTTGGTGTAGATCTTCAGCAGATGTGGGAAAGCCATTGGGTAGATTCTTCACCTTCCATTCCTAAAAATGGCCTCACCTCACCTTCCATCCCTAGAAATGGCCTCGTCTCTGTTTCCG